CCCTTCAACATAACATTAACTATAGTGCTACATGACCTTAGATGTCTAGCACATTTATCTTGCTTTTTAACTATTAACCATTAACCATTATTAATATATGTGTATATTTATAAGTGTGTGTGTGTGTGTGCGTGTATAGAATATATATATATATATATATATATATATATATATATATATATATATATATATATATATATATATATATATATATATATATATTATATATAGATACATATATTATATATAGATACATACATATATATATATATATATATATATATATATATATATATATATATATATATTTTATCATATATATATTATATATATATATATATATATATATATATATATATATATATATATATTATATATATAGATACATATATTATATATAGATACATATATATATATATATATAGTATATATATATATATATATATATATATATATTTATCATATATATATTATATATATATATATATATATATATATATATATATATATATATTATTTATATATTTTTTTCTTCACGTCCACCTTACAGCTCCGATTTAGCCCCATCCGACTTCATTTTGTTTCCAACTTTAAAAAAATCATTTTCCATCAGTTGAAGATGTAAGAAGAGCTGCTCTGACATGGTTCAGATCACATGACTTCCACTGCCCAATGCGTTATTACCTGCAATTAAGGGTTCATGTTTGAACACGTTATGACACGTTGGTACAATAATGTTCAGGTGTATTAAAATCAACATTCTTCCATATAATTTTTTGTTATGGATTTTTTTCACGAAATCTTTGAAGCCCCTCGTGTATATATGTATGTTGTGTATGTGTGCGCGCCCGCGCGTGTGTGAATGTACATTTATAGATACAAAGAGTTTCATAAACATGTCACATTCTTAATGATTCACATAAATATATCTGACAAAATGATAACTGCGAAAATGGTGGTCGCACATATATGTTGACAAGCAATTAATGTCTGAAAATAAAGTTTTTAACAGTTAGTCTAATGACAGCATGTCTTTTTAGTATTTCGAAACAAAAGCATGATAACGATGGTAATAGAATAAAGTTCATCGCAGCAGAAACAGCTATTGTGGAGTCGATTAGCGTACATCGACCCAAAGGTACGGATGCACGCGGGATAAGGTGATTGGTTTCGCCGTTACAGCAAATAGTGTAGTAATGATATACGTTAAAAGCTATTTTCCTGCCTTTGCGATGTTTCGCTTTGTATTTTAAATCGGCACTATTGCCCAGGGCATCAAGTTTACACATTACTTTTTGTCGTTATGTATTTACATTACGGTATTAATGTCGGTTACACAATTTGTGTCAGTTTCATCATAGTGCCTAGATGGTAATGCTGAAGATCATTTTAATGTTCAATTAGTCGTCTCAAAATAACAAAGTCAAACATATCACTTTACTGAATGGCAAAAAGATGCATAGCCTTGTCAGTGCCAATTGTATCGAGAGTGATACCAAATGGTTCAATGGTTTCCAATTTAGATGTTGGGCCTAGCCGACCTGCACAACAGTGTGTGTGTATATGTTCGCGTGCTAAAGGGAAATTGTTAAGAATAAAAAAAGGGTGGCTATTTAACAATGAAAGGAACTAGCCTACACAGATTTGGGGATAACGAGAAAGCATGTAAGCCACATGACCGACATGACCTCACGGGCATGAAACACTCCCAGCAACAACTCTCTGTGACGAACACCACATGGCAAGAACAACAAGAGGCACCGTTGTCATGGTGACCCGCCTCAAGCGATGACACCCGAAATAGGTTCCCAGAATAATATAACAAAAAAAGAAAAGAAAAAAAATCAGTAAGACGTCATTGGATCGTTTTGAGAATCCGTAATGCCAGCGCCAAGTTATTCATTTCCTGAGGATGTTGGCACTTTCTCCGCCATGTTCCGAGCGCTGTCATGTCCTGAGGTTGCTGGCACTGGCCCTATCTGGGTTGGTTCAGAGGCCGGAGGAACAGTGCACCAAGAGCCAGTGCCAAACTGAGATCTGTGGGGTGAGGCTGTGAGGTCGTAGCCCTTCTGGTTAATTATTAACCTAAGATAAGGCATCAAGCCATCTCGAACCAGTGCAGTGTCTGATTATATTTTACAGAGAGGGCGATCTAAATAAAACTAAAGGTAAGGGGAGAAAAAACTGTAAATTATATTTCCGATGTCCAACGAATTTGTACTGAACTGCTGTCGACCATGACCAGTTTTGTTATGACTGAGCAACAGTAATGCTTTATAAATGGACGATCATTGAGTAATCGTTTATGCATACATTACGCATATTTCCATCTACTCAATAACACACAGAACTAAGTATGCTGTACATATGTATATACAAACAAAAATGCTTGCGTTATAATAGTAATGCTTGTAATACATACCAATACGTATATATATGTGTGTGTGTGTGTGTGTGTGTGTGTGCGTGTGTGTGTGCGTATGCGTGTGCGTGTGTATAC